GGGTCGCGATCGCAAGACCTATTGGCGGAACCGATGGGACGGACTCTACAATTCCTACCACAAAGAGCTGATTAAGAAATTATATGAAGTGAAATGGCCTAACAATGAACACACAGTTGTATTGACAAGTATTACGAATATAAGTGGCGACGTGTGGGCACTGGAGGAAGATTTGCGGTCTTTTTTGGAGGCCAAACAACCCGAAGGCATACGTATTATGACTGGTGTTATGGAAGTGAATGGCGTTCTCACTCTTAAGGGCGACTTTGTTATGGAAACCGTTAAATGGCTCACAGATAAGGGGTTTTAACGGTAAACACTTAAGTGCTTTAATTTGTTGGTCCAGTGATCCCAACCTCTCATTTAACTGGCCGTCAATGTAGTCAATCATATGTTAGACATTATCTGTTTATAGTTTTAATAAATGTGTTTTCATATTTGAATTGTTTGTACTTTTTTCAACAAATGGACTACAAATACATAAAGAATTTTATTTGTTTAATAATTAAAGGAAACAAATTTATAAATATGACCACAAATTCACTTCTAAGTCGACTTTTCAGTAGTTTTATATATTTTATGAAACTTTCGTACAAATGACTAGTGATTTAGATAACAATACTTTGTTTCCTAAATGTATAACAGATTTTGGGATAAAGAAACAGAGAGAGAGAGAGAGAGAGAGAGAGAGAGAGAGAGAGATCAACAAATTAAAGCACTTAAATGTTTACCGTTAAAACCCCTTATCTGTGAGCCATTTAACGGTTTCCATAACAAAGTCCCCCTTAAGAGAGAGAGAGAGAGAGAGAGAGAGAGAATATGGTTATAAAAACAAATCACTGATTGATATAACGAATATGTTTAACAAAAATAAATACAATGTATTAATTAGTGGATTATAGCCAATGGGTAGGCCTTATGAGAGTTCGAAACCGGTATTACTAGCGATGGCGTACCGGAGTTTGTCCCTCAAAGTGCTCTTCTTCTGATAATTGGGTAGTTTTAAGAGATTAAAACACGTCGAAGAAGTGGGCAATCGGTTGATTGGGTCGCGGCGTCTGATGGTAAAGAAACCGCGCAAAACACTGCCCACAGTGTCTCCCGTGTCGTTATCGTCGCTCACTTCGACACAGCGTATGGATAGCGGGGGCTCTAAGTGTGCGAACCCGAGCAGCGGTGGCTTCGAACACGACGTGACAAACTTGAGGAACATTTTGTGTTCATCGCGAGTGAAGTCCTTCTCCAGGATATCCCACAACCATATGATTACTCTATGATTGTTGTGAAAACCGCCAAAATATTTGGTATGCTTTCGGAGATCAGACAAATCGATGGGAGTGTTGTCGCCGGAGATGAGGCGCTGGAACTCTGGCGTCGAGAACATTGTGAGCCAATCGGGATTGACGATCGACCGGAAGCCGCGTATGAAAGCAGCCGTCTGTTCGTGTATTTGTGTGTGCATTCGGAAGTGAGCCATCAAATGAATATAACTGATTCGCGTCTCTTTTGTCACAGGTATGGCTCGACCGCCGGTCACCAACTCGTGGGTCACTATCTGTCCCATACAGTCGTCGTCGATCGAGAAGGTCAGGTCCAGTTGATTGATGTCCCCGTCGTAATGCTTGATATACGTCAGACTCTTGTAGAGTCCGGCGTCGAGCGAAGGCAACTCATCGATGGACGAGTAGAGAGCGTTCTGTTGTTGACCCAACACTTGGCTCATGAAGAATGAGGCGAAGGGGACGTCGACAACGATGCCCTCGTAGACCGCTTTGCCCAACATTTTGCCAATGAATTCGAAGAGCGATAAATGATTTTCCTGTATGTGAGACGTCGGCGACGGATAGAGACGCTGTTCGGTAGTGACGCGGAACAGATTCAACGACGGGTCGAACACACGTTTGATGGTGTCTTCGAGGAACTCTTTGAACACCCCGTCCTGATCTATACCCGCCTCATCCAATCCCTGTTCGTTAATGAACTTCACTCTTATCACTCCCTTCAACGACTGGGGCGGAAGTGTAGCCAACTGTTGGTACCCGTCCTCCACTACGCGCGACCGATGAACTGTGATTAGCGTCGACTGTGGCGAAGCACACGCCGATTCGGTCAGTCCCAGCACTGTCTTCTCGTTGTTGACATATTTGCGGAATAACACCACTCTTTCCTTATGCGGTATAATATGCGGCACTTTTTGCATCAATAGATGCGCGCCTTTTCTCCCGTTCTCCAAGTCTTTCATAAAATTGGATACTTTTAGCTCTCTGTCAAGTCGTGAAAATATGGGAAAATTCATTTTAAATTATAATTAATGTAAAAAGAGATTGTTTCGTATACTTGATAAGCCAGTGGTCAGTGGGTGTGAATTGTCGCCTACAGTCCCGTTTATATAATAGCATTAGAAAAGCGTGCGTTGAATTCAATAGACTATTCATATTCATTGTCTTGAAGTCTACAATGCAATTAATAACAAGTCGTTTAAAATCGGATAAAATACAAATGCTTTTCATTTATATAGTGTTAAGAAATTGAATGCAAATACCAATCAAATTATTCCAAATAATTTTATACACAAATGTATTCAAAAATGATGAGATTGTGATGAGTTCGTCGATAGTAAAGGGCCTCTGGTTTTCATACATTTCCATGTCGTCTAATATAGTGATCAAATGTGTGGCGCAATCACAGAATAATATCAGTATTTGAAACTCCGGCGCACAGGTCTTCGTGTGAAGAGTTAAGTGGTCCAGAAATGCTTTCATACCACTGGCCGGACCTAACGAACTGATAAAGTGCCACAAATTGGGTAGAATCAGGTCCTGATAGCAGAGTCCGGCCAATATATCGAGTTTCACTTGAGTTAACGTATTGAGTGCCGTCTCATATAAGTTACAGATTAATGCGATTAGTGTTGTTTCGGGACTCCCGAGCCTACAGTTAAGCGATGAGCCCGACTGTCCGCTCACAATGCCCTGACCGGCGCGACCCACTGTCTGACTCGCCCTCTCAAATGCCTTCTTCAAGAAGTTTCCTTTCGTAGAATTGACTGAATTCTTAGCGGACGTCACGTTAAGAGTGGGATTCGCTGTGTTTGTGGCGCCCGAACCAAAAGAGCCAACGCTTTCGCGCCGAGACTGAGACAACGACTTATCGCTCAACTCGATTAGTGGACTGAAAATCAATTGAATGAGTTGTGCGCTCCACAGGTATTGGAGCTGAGATTTCACATAAACCATAGATTCGTGTAAACTATTAATGAAATTTTTGTTTTCAAATCTCGATCAAAACTTAATTGTGTCTAAACTAACCCTTGATCCACGTTCTGGGCGAACCAACCGAGCACTGGGTGCCAATGAGTTAGACTCGACTGTTTACTGACCACATATTTCTGACAACTTTCCAATAGTTTGGTTATAACACACTGAAGAGTGAAACAAATCAAATGAGCACTCATTTTGATGACACTGTCATCTAATTATACTTACGATAAAGTCAACCATATTTGCGGCCATAGTATTGAGGGGTATCTCAATGAAGGCCAGGTGTATAACATTGGCCAACAGACACAACGCGTAATTGCCTTCGAGAGCGTTGAATAGGATTCGCGAGTTTTGGTCTAATGAGAGGATTTCGACACTTTTCTTAAGTATGGATTCATTGGAGAGAACAGTCAACGAGTCGTTGGCAATGGAGTTGAGGTGATAGATGAGCCCCGGGATGGAGAAGATGTGCAACAAAAACATATTCATTAGCGACTCATTGAATTTGGCGCTAATCACTGGCCGTAAAGACAGTGTAATGATTGCCGTCAGTGCGCTCTTCTTCAGAGTCGGTTTCGTACGCATCAAACCCTTCATCAAAAGGATCTGGAGGTTAGCGTACAGTCCTTTGGAGACCAAACTGTTCATCACATTCTGACACAACTGGTTCACCACCGGTCGCAACGGTTCGTACACTTGAGGACACTCTTTGAGTACAACCCAAGAGTTGGTTGACGTGAATGTGATCAACATATTGAGGAATAATTGGATTTGTTTGTAGTCATGCGGAACCTCTGGTTTCAATTGCTTCAGATATTGGCAACACTTCCATAGAACTGTCTTCAGCTGTTGTATCCATTGAACGGCCATTTGTTTGTTAAACACGACGGAGACGTAAGTGATTTGTCGTCTCTCGAGGCCGTCTTCGAGTGGACGGCAATTGTCTGTCAAATTCATAGTCGCGATCATGTATTTACACATCTGTTCAAAACGTTTGCCGTCTTTATTGGTGTCCAAAATGAACATAAATTTGCGGATCAACTCATATATACGGATGGCGTCCACGTATTGGACAACAGTGTCATCGTTTGTGTCCATCAATTGTGCCATCAATTCGTCAAACTCTCGGCGGATCTCATTCTGGAGTCGACGGCGAGTGAGGAAACCTCTGACCACAGACTGCAAGACAATGAGAGGTCAGAATAGATTATCAATGAGTGGACAATTGGTGGACATCTCGTGTCCATGAGTTCAGGTCTCACCTGAATAAGAGTAGAGCTGTGATGCAGTCGTCGATGGCTTTCCCTTTCGATTCTGTGGGCTTTCGCCGACTCCAAGAACTCCTGTCTTTCATCCGACACTCCTTTGGCTGAAGTAAACATCTTTTCAATGTCTTGGCCTTCAGTCAACCACTTCCTCTTCAGTCCCGTCTATCCATACAATTGTGTCACTTATTGACAACTCTTTGGTAAAAGAAATACCAATAAAAATATGAGTAAATGAGTGTATAATTGAAAAAATAATAAAACAGTTGAAATGAAAACACAATTAAATGTATAAATAATAAAATGAGTGAAAAATGCAAATCTGTTTGCAATCAATGTTTATAAACAAACACTTGTCATACGATTCATACGATTCTCATTGCAAACACTTTTGGCACTATATTTAAAATGCTATACACTTTAAGGCATACAATATATTCAATGTATTCACGCATTCAAATCATTGTTCAAACTTTTTATAACTTTTTTTCTTCATTCATACATTTGTATAAATCAATTGTTTTAAACACGCGATTAGTTTTAAATATTTAAACAAATGATTACAACAGTTGAGAAGACATTGAGAAACTTATTGTCAATTATAGCCATAGAATAAAGTGTTGAAACAAACAGAAAATTATCTTTAATTTGACAAAGAGTTGTACAATAGGTTTGTGTGGAAGCAAATGATGAGGAGTTTTTGGGATTTCTTCGGCGGCGGCGGTAAGAAACCCCCTCCGAAGAAGAACGCGGCGAAAGGCAATGACAAACAGCCGCAGAAGAAGGCGCAGAAGACGGCGCCGAAGACGGGGCCGAAGAGCACAGTGGCGGCCAAAGCGGGTGTGAAGAAGACGGCGGCGCCTAATGTCGCGCAAAACCTGTTGAATGGCGTCCGGAAGACAAAGTCGATGGACTCGGTGTTCAACATCAAGAAACCGCTTCAAGTGGCCGAACACTTCGGCTCACGGCTGTCGTCCATCAACGGCTCGCCTCCGGGAGAGAACATGTATGACGTGTGCGCTTATGTCATACATTGTGTCAAACACAACAAGATTGCCGTCAATCAGGAGGAGAAGAATCGTTACGTTTGGCTCCCATTCGTGTTTTTGCCGCAAATCAGGACTTGGACTGAAGGGGCGGTCGACGGCGCGTACATTATTCTGGCCAACGGCGACGCCCAGGCGTTTGTCGACCTGCAGAACAAGTCGGTGATCGCCGAATCCCATTGCATGCAATTGTTTCGCTTGCAATTACCGCAGACACAGAAGTTCAACATTCGGCTCATATATTTGGTCAAACTGTCCGACAAAAGTGACTTCAAGTGCTGTAAGGATACGAATCGCCTCAAATGGATCAACGCTGGAGAGGCACAGAACGGCAAAATCAAGAACCTTTTTGGTCCCGAAGTGGTCGAGTTCTCGAGGCTGGCGACCAAACCTATTGTTCAGCGCATCAATGAGTACAGTCTGGACGAGGCGTTGACATACGTGCCCAGAGATCCGCCGCGCAATCTCGAGGAAGAGATGCTAAAGTCGACCAATTATACAGAAAAAGATGTCGAAAGGCTTTACAGCGATTTCATTGAGCACTGCTTTCCGTCATTCTTCATGACTCAGACCTCATTCAGTGACTATATGTCGAAATACGGCTTTGAAAAGATGGACAAGAAGTTGGAGCTATTGTTTCGGGCCTTCAATTTCAACAAAAACAGTTTTCTAAGTTTCCACGAATTCCTATTGGGTCTGACATCGATTGATCCGATGGCCAGCAACGGTCAGTCGCGCATCAAATTTATCTTCAAGTATTTCGATGTCGATTCTGATGGCTATCTAAATGAGAAGGAATTCACTTCAATGGTGAGAGAAATATACCCCAAAGACAACAGCAATGATATCAAGACAAAGACGGCTCAAAATATGAAAACAATCGGAACTCGAGGGCCAAAGGGTGTGTATTTCGATGACTTCTTCAAAGCCGTCGGCGCCCATAAGTTCAGAGGCACTCATTTGCTCTGTCGATCCAATCGTCCCATTTTGGCCCAAATCTCGCGATCAATGGCTTCGCGAACATTGAAGCGGACGACAGGAAAAGTGAATTTAGCGGGGATTCTAAAGGACCGCAAATACAAAGGCATTTGTCAGTCGTGTCGCGAGAAGAAGTACGAGTACGCGAAGCATATCGTCAGAATCGATGCCGAAGGGCGTTGTATTGAGCCCAAGAAGTTGCCCGAATGGGATCAGATCAAGAAAGTATCCAAAAGTGATGAATCAGTCAAAAAATCTGATGAGGACTCGAAGAAATCCGAGAAATCCGACGAAGACTCCAAGAAATCCGATGGAAATTCAAAGAAAAGCTCCGGCAGTAAAGAGTCTGCGGGCGCCGACTCGGGCTCAACACAAGACCCTTCAACAGATGTCGTCTGGAATAACAAATCTGTGGCCAATTATTTCATTGAACAGATCCGCGCCTTTAATCTGAAGAAGGGATCGCATAAAGACAATAAAGGCCTCTTTGATGGCTCGGCTGAGAGAGAGGGGTTCGTCGCCAAACTTGAATACTTGTGTTCAGCCATTGACAAGATTGTGTCTCAAGAGGAGCGGTGCGTTCGCGTGAGTTCGCCAGCGTTTGTCGTCGGAGACATTCACGGAAACCTCGAGGATCTGTTGACAATGGAGAAAGTGTTGTGGCGAAGCGCACCCATAGTTGCGGCCAATTATGTATTTCTGGGCGATTACGTGGATCGGGGAAAGTGGGGCCTCGAGTGCGCGATGTATCTCATGTGTATGAAACTGTTGGCGCCGAACAAGATTGTGATGTTGAGGGGTAACCACGAGGTGCGCGAACTCCAGAAGCACTACACCTATAAGAAGGAGTGCGTCCATAAGTATGGCGACACTTTGGGAGAGAAGGTGTTTGAGATGACAAACCGGGTGTTCGACAGATTGCCCTTCTGTGCCGTCATCGACGACGCCATCTACTGCGCCCACGGAGGCATCCCCTGCACCGTCAGACTCATCGAGAAGATCAATGAAACCAAGAACGACCTCAAAGACCCCGAGAACGAGGGCCCCATCGCGTGGGAGATACTCTGGTCGGACCCCATAGCCCCGCAACAGTTCGCCGAAGCGGCAGAACTACTGCAAGTGAAAGTGGAGAACGCGAAGGGATTCCTCACCAACACTAAGAGGGGAACCGCTTTCCTGTTCGGCGAGGAGGCGGTCAACAACTTTTTGCAGTTCAATGGCTTGACACACATCATACGGGCCCACGAAGTGCCGGCGCACGGCTTCACGTTTCACTTCGGCAACAAATGTGCGACAATCTTCTCGTGCTCTCACTATTGCGGCAATAATAACGAGTCCGCGTGCGTCCACATCGACAATGAAAAACTCCGTATCGTTCGCTTGGATACTGTCAACAACGCCCCTCCCAGTGACTAACTGATCCGTATTGACCACCGTTTCCTGTATTATCTGTTTATATATCAATGCAATGAATTTTTTGTTGATTTCAACACATATTTGTCTAAAAAAAGTTCAGTTTAAATAAACAGAGAAAAAACATTTGTTTTCTAAAATGGTATTTATTTGTTGCGAAGATTTGTCTTTTGTTTTTTGTTGTCGAAAATTGATAAAAACATTACAATTAATTGACATTAAATTTGTTGAGAAAAAATAATATCTGAGACATTGATATTTGAAAATATTTGACACAAAATTGGAGTTTTGGGTATAATTTTCTGTCTTTATATATGAGACTGAGAATAGAGACGAATAGCAAACAATAAAATTTCATTACAATTATTATTACAATTGATAGGGAAATACAATTTGATATGAAATCTATTAGAAAATGCATACATTGTCTGCACTCTATTAATCCATAATCTAATAATAAATACAAAAATTAAAACACAAATTCATTTTCTCTAAACCGTAAAACTAAAACTGATTTTTATGAAAAGCCAACAGAAAAGCCTATAAAACAGGAGTCCATTCTCTGTAAACATACATGTATGTAGAATTTATTATCAATGATAATAATATGCGATACTATTTAATGTGCGATCAAAATATTCATTTACGTTATATATCAAGAGATCATATAAACTGATGGCATGAATAACAGAGATGTTTACCAATAGTTGAGAGAAATGTTTTGAAGTAAAACTCGTTATTAAAAAAACGAGAGTTTTGTTTGTGTTTTGGTTTTGTTTGGCTTACAATTTGATTACGAGAAATATTACTTAAACTAAAAACATTTGTTCTTTCATTAAATTTAATTACAATAATAAGGAATTCATTGGTTTGAACACAACTCTACAAAAAACAAAGTGAATTGCATTATAAATATCGACACCTAATGTTTGTCGGGTTCGGGTGGCTATTGTAGAGCACCACTCATTTCTTGCTATTCTTTTTGGTCACCTGACCTCTCGGCGGAGTCAGCGGTCGGCTTGCATTCATCGCTCCGTACGGGAACTTCTTCTTATCCGCCGGTTTAAGAATCTATTAAAACAATTAAATAAACATAAAAGTAATTATAGATTATTAATCATATAAAATACATTTCCATAAATTGATAAGTTTTTAAGTGTTTTTACAACTCTTTAAGCGTAACATAAAAGTACTTGACATTCAAAAACAATTAGGAGAACAAGCGATTCAACCCCTGTTTCTCATTCTGAGTAGTAATTATCGCTAAAAATGGAAACATTTATACAATAATTAAGTATTATTTCGGTGTCAAGTATTGTGTTATTGAAAGTCAAGTGCAGGGGAAGGAAATCAGACACTTTAGGTATCGGATAATTTTGGAGTAATCTATCGATTCATTGAATCACTTATTCTGTATTTCAATGGAAAATATGTCAGTGGAAAAACACCTCGTTTTCAAACATATTTACAAAAACAAACAAATAAGATATGAATAAATACCTGGAAAGAGCACATAAGAGTCTCGTCCACTGACATCATTGCTCCCGCGTTATCGAATTCGCCGCAATAGTTGGGCGCAGAGAACAGTGTAACCAATTGTCTCTTTGCAAAGAATTCATACCCGTCTTCGACAACCTATTCATTTCCAAACAGACAAATAAAACCAAACATTGAATATAAATGCAAACAAATAGTTTCGTGTATTGATTACCTGATGAGCTCTGCAGATGAGGTCCAAGTCGTGTTTATGGAGGAACTTTCCGACCACATCGGCGCCGAACGTATACGACACCCCTCTGTCATTCTCGCCCCAACCCATCACATCTTTGTCCGGATCCGACCACAACAGGTCGCACAGCAATCCCTGGTCGGGCACATCCGTCGGCCGCATAATGCGGCGAATTTGTTCCATAGAGTGGAGATCAGGACTCAGGCCTCCGTGACAACAGAAGATCTTCTCATCAACAATGGCCGCCACAGGAAGACAATTGAAACAATCGGTGAACGTTTTCCACAATTTTATATTATAACGTCTTTTGCCTAAACAAGACAAACATATGGTTTAAGTGATACAAACAAATAATGGCGAGAAGTAATGGTGGCATACATTCATCGTAGAAACCGTAGATGCGGTTAATGGAAGCGCACTCATGATTGCCCCGCAAGAGGAAGAAGTTCTCCGGATATTTGATTTTGTAGGCGAGTAATAGACATATGGTTTCTAAGGACTGTTTGCCGCGATCGACGTAATCTCCGAGGAATAGGTAATTGCTTTCGGGCGGAAACCCTCCGTACTCGAAGAGCCGCAACAGATCGTAGTACTGGCCGTGAATGTCACCTATAATACAACCAATCAAATACAACACGTTATCAACACAACAATCAATACATTATCAGCCCATCGACTGTTCACAGGCAAGAGATGGGGTTTACGAGTGCTCTTTAGGCCTTGAACTGTACTCGACTTGCAATCAGTAAACGAGTAAAAAACACTGTATTATATGTTCACAATTGAAGATGAATTTGAAATAATAAAAAATATTTCCATCACTCAATTATAACATTGAACTATATTTATAGTAAAACAAATAACTCCAACCACTAATTGTAGCGATACTTTCAAAACACAACGTTTTAGAGAGAAAAAACCTATTTCTATGACATGTGTATTGATAATAGAGAATATAGTTTTGACGTTAAAAGCCATTAGTAAATGATTTATATTGACATCAAATTTAATGCAATTTAATCTCTATTTATAGGAAAATCATAGGTTATGGGCTATAACTTTATATATAGGCTATTACTTATAGCAAACATTTCATAAAATGTATTTATCGAGAGTTAGAGTAACTAAACAAAGAGTTTCTAATGAGAGGAAACTCAATAAGTTATTGACATTTATTATAAATTTAAACAATTACTTCAATTTAATGAACACAATGGTTGACAGAAGTGTTCATTAAATCAATAAATTGCTCAATAAATGGCATTGCATTCAAATACAGTCTATTAATTGATACCATAACTACTTTGTGTCTATTAATTAAGTTTAGGTATATTTCATTGTTTTAATGATAAAATACAGCATTTTCTTTAAAATCACATTAAATGGCAATTTGTTTGCTGTAATCTAACTATCAATTGTCTCAATACCTGACAACACATGTACTAATAGGCATTCAAATGATGTACTTTTAAATAACTGCAATTCATTTAAATTATAAACAATTCACAAACAATTATATCTTTATATTTATAGTGTTATCAAATGGATAGCATTTAGCGTTTATTTAACAATAAAACGCTAACAAATGTATTGATATAAAAAATGTTTAATTTTTAACAAAGTCTATGGGAAGTAAATTTGGGAATTGGATTGCATTCAAGTATTACTACAACAAAACCATTCAATTGTGTACTAAATGTTTAGATATTATACACTAATAGTAGTAATAAATAGATATTTGCAAATAAAATGTGCATAAAATGAGTGTAAAATGTGTAATACGGACCGCATATCTTGAGGGGCGCCTCCAACTCCAGAAGAATGGGTTGACTCAGAAATATTTCCCGTGATTTGACGCAAAGACTTTTGATCTCCGCTTCGGACAACTGGACATTCTTTCCCGGACGCGATCCGCGAACTGATCCCAAGGATTGACAATAAAAGAAGACAATCAATACAATTAACAAATCATATCACATATCAATGCAAACAATAGTAAAAATGCATTCAATGCCGAAAGTATGGCTAGAATTGAGTCAAATGGCAAACAATGGTTAATCAAAGACAACAAACCCTCGAGAAGTCTTTGGATAATTGAGTCGATATTCAATTTGTCGGAATCGACCATATCTTCAGATGGGATGCGATTGGATGTGACTTATAGTGTATTGTCTTCAATGCACTCAACCGTTCACTCAATACTAAATGTATTGCAAACACAACACAAACCAATTCAAGCACTCATTTTGAACATCAATTACGGCATACAATCACTAATCATGACTATTAATTGTATGCCATTTAATTACACTTTACTTACTCTCATATAAATAGTGATTCATTTATAACCCAATAATTTTCGATAAATATTAATTAAAAATGATTACTAAAATGCATTCAATTAATCCATTTGTATCGTAAGTGTTGTAACAAAAAACAGGTAAATCGTAACGTACTATACGAACGGCCCATAGAGTCGGCCATTTGGGTATTGTCTTGTGTTCAACGCTTTCGCATCGCTTTATTCAGTCTTTGTCTTTGGGAGACATCACTTGCGGAACAGATATTATCCTAATTTACATTCATTTATCAAAACGTTATTAACGATTAACTGAAGGTATGGCTAATGAGGTATGAATTGATTGGTTTGCGGCAATGATTTGGTGCCCAATGCTATTGCCATATGTCTGGCATTGAATGCCATGTTTTCTATGAATTGCTTTGTCTATGAATTGATTAACTCGTGAGTAATTAATTGTGTCTTTGCTGGGGAACAGATGGGAGACACTGAACAAGACTTGTTGGACTACGAGGAGGACGACGAGCAGACCAACAACGCGGGCGATGCGGCCAATAATGTGACGGCAGTTGAGGCCAAAAAGGGTGGATATGTGTCCATCCATTCGTCCGGTTTCCGCGATTTCCTTCTGAAGCCGGAACTGTTGCGAGCGATCATTGACTGCGGTTTTGAGCACCCGAGGTATGGACACACTTATCGCTGTTTGACTCGTTAAATGTGTTAACACGTGCTTTCTATGCATTGGTTGTGTGCAGTGAAGTGCAACACGAGTGCATTCCTCAGGCCATTCTAGGAATGGATATCTTATGTCAGGCGAAGTCAGGTATGGGAAAGACGGCTGTCTTCGTGTTGGCGACTCTGCAGCAGTTGGATCCGGTGGAGGGACAGGTCTCGGTTCTGGTCATGTGTCACACTCGGGAACTGGCCTTTCAGATCAGCAAAGAGTACGAGCGCTTCTCCAAATACATGTCGACCATTCGTGTGTCGGTATTCTTCGGCGGTATGAACATCACGAACGACGAGAAGGTGTTGCGCACATCACCGCCGCATATAGTGGTCGGAACTCCGGGACGTATTCTCGCTCTCGTGAGGGGAAAGAAACTGAATTTGAAACACATTAAGCATTTCATTCTCGACGAGTGCGACAAAATGCTGGAACAGTTAGGTATGACATCCGAAGACATTTGTTTTGATATACAATTAATTATTTGGTTTATGTGTTAAGACATGCGTCGAGACGTTCAGGAGATATTCAAAGCGACTCCTCATGAGAAGCAAGTGATGATGTTTAGCGCCACCCTCTCGAAGGACATCCGACCCGTTTGCAAGAAGTTTATGCAAGACGTAAGCATTGATTCGCCACTACTTCCTCCTCCTGTCTGCCGCCTGTCTGGCCATCAGTTGTACGATCGAAGCGCCGATCACTTAATGTTAATGTCTATGACTTGAATGAGTGTTGAAATGATGAGAATTTAAAACTCGGTTTGACTGTCGGTTTGCTCTTCAGATGAATGAGTGGTTGAAATCTTGTTAGCCTTTGAATCAGTTTCTGAGTTAGTATTGAGAGAAGACATCATAAATTGTTATAAGAAGACATCATTTCTGTTGAAGAAGACATCCTTGGGTTGAATACCTTTCCATTTCCGCCAATCAAATAGTTTTACACTAAATATTTAAAACCTAAGTTTTTTAAAGCCAACTCTGAGAGCACTCTCTCTGATAAACGAATAGCAATTCAACCTAAATGTTAATATCATTAATGATATGCAAGAGAAGTGATCGAAGAATAGTAGACATCTCTGCGATAATCGTATAATAAATGCTTATGTCATCCCATGTCTCATGACATACCTGTGCACCCAATATATGGCGACCACTGGTAGTGAAAGATAATTATAAATACCATAATATAGAGAGAAAGGGTCACCGAAATAGACGACTCAAAAA